ATCATGCATGTTAACTGTGATTAATTGACAGCCCTATTTTTTACAAAACCCTCAAAATAGCCAGTGCATTGGTCCTAGTTTTAAAGGAGAGATGGTTTCATTATGATGTTACCAGTGAAGCCTGGATAATATTAAAGTCCTCACTAGAAGTTTCACTTGTTTGGTCTTTAGTGGATGATTGAAGAAAAGGTGGATTAAGGAGACAATGGACAAAGATCCAGGGCTAGTACCATGCTCTGTCTGAGGACCCCTTGGGATAGGACAAAGTGCATTGACCAATCAAGGAGATAATTGAACAGGATAGTTACTAATTATTCTACTTAATGGAGGGAAGGCTGTGAAACTCAAGTTGGACAAATTCAATCTTGAAATGAAATGCAAGATACCAACAAGGATAATTATCAACTAGACAATAAAATGGAGGTGAATAGACTCAGTGTTGCTGGTATTGCCCCCAGGATTCCTTTTACCAGAGACCCCCAAAGACTGACATGGCCCCTGGTCGGATTTAGCATCAAGTGAACTTTTAATAGTAACCCCTAGGCTTATTACACGTTTTCTCCTTATAATACAACCTGGCACGTGGTTCCATAAACATTGCAGCAGTGACATTTGGTGGTACCAGCCTCAGATCCTTTGCTGGGTGTGTTGGATGTTAGTTTTGGATTCCTTGTTACTCAAAGCAAGAAGTCCAAGGTTGCTCCTGTCTCCTCAGGGTGGCAACACAAACACACACTGTCTCTTTGTTTGTCCACTACTTTTGTAACTTTCTCATCTCAAACTGTCCAATCCCTAAGTTTCTTACCTCATCTTTTTAGATAAGGTCATCCATCCCTACTCCATTTTCGGTTTCCTTTCCTTTTAGGGAAACTACTGTACCTGGTTAGCCCACCGTACCAATCACAGACTCACTATTCCCGGTGCCTTATAAGGCACTCTGTACAATTTAATTGCTTAGTTCCGGAAAGACCTAAAGTTAGAGCCTGAGCATAACTCAGTCTGCCTGCTACAGCTGGGAGCCTATGGAGTTTTTGAGACAAGATCTCTCTAAAAGTCAGACTATAATCCAGCCTCTGGGAAAAATCCTATATCATGTGTAAACAGAAATACTCCCTTCTGGCCTTAGAAGAGATATTGGAGAGCCACAAGAAAGGAATATTAGTCCAGAAGAAAACTGGCTAGCATATTTAGAAAGTACCACAGGGCATTTACTGATTTTCTTGTTGTGTTCGTTGTACTAAAAGAACCTAGAAAAAATATAGGGTATTCAGTCCAGAGTTTATTTTATTTGCCTCTTCTTAATTTTTGGTTTAGGAAAGTTGTGTAAGAAAACACAGACAATATAATGTTGGATGTGGTCCATAACATGAGATCCCTCCTGAGCATGTGCACACTGATGAGAGATGGGAAGGTTCTAGAATAGCTGGACTTCCCACTTTGATGATGTCAGTGACCCACTTACATCTGGGGAGCATGTGCAGTAAGTTGTGTGGTCCAGTCGAGTGCTGTGTGCTACACCTGAGTGCCGAGAGCACAATAGTAGGGTGTCATGTGTACGTGAGTATGATTGGTGAGAAGAATGACTGACACCTCGTGTGATTTTTGGGGAGTATTTATGGAATCCCGAGGTGTGATTTGGTGTACAAATGGAATACGGGTGCTTGAGAGTACTTGAAGTTTGAACAGTGTGCGAGCTTACTTGGTTGGTGATCATACCTGTGTGTCTGATATGAGCTGTGACTGTAGCAGTGAGAGAGAGAGGGGTGACCTATCAGATTGGATTATAATTTAATACTTACCTGTAAAAGCGTTATTGGATCGGGACCTTGATCATCCATTGGATTGGTAATTATCACCCCTCCCTCCCTCTCGGTCTGAGACCCTCTGAGGGAAAAGACTGAGGGCCTGACTGTCACTCCAGCTCAGTGAGCCTGTGAAGGTTCTGATGCTGCCCTTCACGGCCCCTTGGCAGGTGTTTTTATGGTGCATGGTAGTTAACCAGTGTATATAGTAAATGCTTGATATTATGCATGTTTCCTACTGTTAATCTTGTTTTTGTATGATTGTGAGTTTATAATATACTTTTTAACTTTATTTGGAGCCTCTGTGTATTTATAGGGTATATGGTGCTGGGCTGTACCTCTATGTATATCCCTGACCCTCAAATTCGCCTCTAACAGAAATAACACACGAAAGACCCTGGCTGTCTGAGGAGGCCTAACCCTCTGGCCCTTAGATTTCTCATAGGTGGTCAGTGTCCAGGACACGCGGCGGTGTCCGCCTTTCAATTACAGAAAGCTGTCATGTCCTGGTAGACTAGTTCCCCACACATATCTTTTTGAACAGGGTCTGAGGTCTTCATACCTTTATTTGTATGTATTCACCCACTTTCTCTACTTTATGCTTTCACACACATGCACACAAAGATACTCATGTGTTTTACATCCCTCTGCCCAGAACTGCCAGAGACAGCTTGTCTTATGAAATCAGGAGAAAACAGAGAACAAATCACTCCAGAGTTCCCTTCTGACTACTGCTTCACTGTACAACATGAGTACTGCTTTGAAGTTATATACATTTTGTATCCATTGTTCATTGTATTCATTTATATTTCAGTAAGCATCTTAAATTATGCTTCACAACTGCTTGGAGAGGCTTGTATGTCCTGTTATCCCCATTTCACCAAATAGGAACACTGAGACTCAGGAAGGTTAATATTGTCAAACTTGGGTGACTAAATTTTGGCATCTAAATTTATGTTTAGATCTCTAGAGGTAAGCATTCTGATTTCCCATGACCCCACCATGGCCACTGACTTGAACAAATATGGATGTATGTGCATAACTTTTAAGAGGTATGACAATGTTAATCATATGTTCAAGGCCTGGGAGGCCAGAGCTTGGATAAGAAAGCTTCCTGACTCCAATCCCATTACTAGTTTGTCTCCCATGTGGGTCATAAGATGGTATATCTTCTTCTTCTTCTCTGATGTCTGACTGTGTCTGACTTCTTCTTCTGTGTTGTGTTGACTGTTGTGTGTGTAACTAAAATAATCTCTTCTTCTTTTTCTTCTTCTACAACTGTCTGAGTTCTGTGTTGTGTTTAATAATCTGAATCTCCGACTTCTTCTTCTATGTTGTCTTTAGTCTGTATGTAACTATAACTAACAATAACTATATATACTCTCTTCTTCTTCTATGACTGTCTCACTTCTTCTGTGTTGTAACACTATTTGACTTCTTTTTCTGTGATAAAGGTGTGTGTGTGTGTGTGTGTGTGTGTAATGTATGTGCTTCCCTGCACAGTGATGGATCATACTGCCAGGAAAAACACAGTTTTCTTTTTAAAAAAGTGTTGGGAAAAAAACCCCACAAAAACAAATATAAATTGAAAGAAATGGATTGGATAGGGATAAGTAGAGGGATTCTAGTTAGTAAGCTACATCCAGTCCTTTCCAAGAACAGAAAGTAGCAGGAGACTGACATGGGAGGAAGCCAAGCCAGTTTAGTACCTTTCAGGTGCTGTTGCTCAGGCAGAAATAGCTCACAAAAGGCACAGAAAGCCTGCAGACAGAAGCTTATATTCTGTTTCTACATCTCTCCCCCAGAACACTGTGATTGGAAGGGGACTCAGGGAAAGATCACAGTCACTGGGCAACTAGAGATGTCAGTCTTTCCCCCTGCTCCCCTTCCCTCTTCTCAGTTTCTGTTCCCCTGAAAGACTGCCTTCTGAATCTCCAAATCTTGTCTCAATCTTTTCTGAATTGATTCAGAGTTTTTTTTCCTTCTCCTGATTCAATTCAGATTCAGTGATTCGGCCTCCAAATCATGCCAAATCTTCTCTGAATTGAATCACAAACCGAAGCTTCGCACACCCCTAGTGACCAGGTCTTATGCAGTCACACCCTTTAGTAAGGGATAAGAAGCTTTTCAAATTGTTGTATGGCCTGTATCAGGGTTCTCCAGAATTACAAACCTTGCACTTGGAGGAACAAAGTGGAGGATACAGAATTGCTTCTCATCCAACAGTAACTTACAAAACAAGGGAGAGGGGGGATAAAATAAATAGAGCCATGGCTCAGCTCCTGTTACATACCAGCCTTCAGACCAGGGGTGGGCAAAATATGTCCCAAGGGGCAGATCCAGCCCACCAACTGACTGGATCAAGTCCATGGATGGGCTCCTGCCAATTCATTGGCAGCAGCTATCTGGGTACTGCTTGTCTCCCCCTGTCTCCAGCAGCTCCTCCTTCTCCTGCCTCTGCCCTGTTGCTCTGCTCTGGGCTGGGGGAAGCTGCAGCTGGATGTCTCCTGCTCCAGTGCATGGGGCTCTGGCTCCAGCTCCCAGCCACCTTCCACCTACTTGGCCAGGCTGTTCATGGTGCCAGGTGGGTGGAGTGTCTGTGTGGAAGATGGCTGGAAGATGCCTGGCTGCAGCTTCATCCCCGTCCAGAGAAGTGCAGTGGGGCAGGAGGAGGAGAAGGAGATGCTGGAGTAGGAGCTAAGTAGTTCCTGGGTGGCTGCAGCCACACTGGAAGCAGCCATGCTGGGAAGCTATGCACACTGGCCAGGGCTAGGGCTGGCACTTGCAGGTGGGAGCATGACACAGGCCACCATGGGTAGGAGTGGGCAGGGCTTGGCCTCATGTGAAGCACTGTGGGAGCAGTTGCAGGCTGGATGGGGTGGGGGTGCAGACAGCACCAGAACCACACTGTTTGGGCAAGCTCTGCTGGACACATTCCCTACCCCCACCCTGTCCCTCCCTCCTCCCACTCCTGGCCACCTCCCAGGACCTAGTGCATG